CTCAGTTACGTATACGGTATAAGTGGCAATGAACAACGAGTTCAAAAGCAGAAACCTTTATAAGTATCATTAATATATTTTTGTAATTCTTGGAGACCGATGAAATTTATGAGATAATGCCATTATGGAAGTGAAAATAACCCACTGTCATCAAGAACTGAAAGCATTTAACTCAGTCCTAAGTTTCGAGATATTGATCTATCAAGTAATATTATTATGATAGGAAACCGATAATAATTGAAGATTGGAATGAAAAAATATTTCGAATACATGAAATGGAACTTTTATTTCATAGCGTATCTGAAAATATAGTATACTCACCTCGCTCTATATAAGATCATGGTTTTTAAAATCCCTAGGATTTATGTGAATAGATTTTATTCCCTTTTCAATATTAGGTTAGCTAACATGCTTACTAGCGAGCATGACAACATTTTACGTTAACTCTATATTAATATACTGGCATTGCGTTAGTTATTGTTGAGATAATACCTAGGAACGATACTCATTACTGAAATAGGGAAGATAGAATCGAATGCCGAGAATCGAGCAACAAAATCCTACCAAAACGTCGTATTCATACTGATACCAAACATTTAGATCAAAGAGCAGTTCTGTAAGCTCACACAAATATGTTGCTCAGTGACGCCTCCTGGCAACTATTCTCTCTCAACCATCCCATGATCAATAAGCTTCGAGAATTCCTGAGAACTCGATTCCTGTGACGTGCGGTGACTGTTTAGCTAGCATCCGTCAATGCAATGACTGCAATCACAAAGGCAATAGCTGAAGCAAAGCCTCGTGATTATTGCCACGCAACAAAACTAGAGGGGAAAAAACCTACATGTAACCGGAAATTTCGTCCACCTTCCATATCCATTGCAGCCATCATATTTTCCTGGAAGTATTTTAATAGAATTACAGTGCATGACGTCATTGTTGCGGGGACAAGCGCCACGCGTATAAAATTGGCGATTCAGCAGAAAAACGCTGCTTGTTGATCGGTAAAATAGCAGTTGATTCAAATCCGGGAAATGCGATTAATCATCGCGGGTACGAGTGCATCATGAGTCACACATGAGCTCACTGGGTTGTGGCGATATAATAAATTCGTTTAAAATGAAAATGAATATTTTTCTCGTTTAATTTGAGAGCATTGCTTCAACAAATTTTGGATGCAGTAAACAAAATTTTATTTGAAATATTTTGTTCCAAACTAATTTTCTAGCTTTTCTTATATAAATGGTTGGTTCTTAATAATTGCATTTTCTATCTGCCTAAATTAACAATGAAAGGGACTTCGTTTCAGGAAATTCAATAAAAATCAATTTCGACGGAATCACGCATTGCGTTATCAGGAAAAGTGTCCCGAGACAGCAGCTGAGGTCGGTGTCCTGCAGCAAACAATCCATGGCGATGTTGTAAGGACGAACCTAACTAGTCAAGCCGGGTCGCCTGCCGAAGACCACCACTGCCCTGGGTGTAATGGACCATCATGATTCCTGCCTTCCGGAACGTAGCCTTCAACACTTCAAGCCGTCCGTATCTAGGCCGTGGGTCGAACCAGCCCTCGGTCGAACGGCCACTTGTCGAAGGACGATAAATTTTGGAACAGAACTATGCTATCTGAAACCTAACCTCAGATGCGGTGAACGTAAAATTACGTAATTTAGCGATGCCCGGATGTCATATTCGATCCGCGGCCTGGTGGTGCACGGCAGGTGGTGGTCAAGGCCGGAAGAGGACAAAGCCGAGTGGTGCACGGCTGATTGGTGGATGTCCGGAGAGATCCAAGGCGTTCGATTCAGGGCTTATTGGTGCACAAAATTGGTGGTGCACGGCTGCGCTCTCGTCAAGCCGCCATGGACCGCAAGGTCGCCGGAGCCTACACTTGCTCTCAGCAGCGGCTGCTCTCGAAGACGCTCAGGCGATGCCCTGCTCTCTGGAACATGATTGCATGCAGGGTCTCCGTCCGCTGGATTAGTTTAGAAACAAAGCTGAGTTTTCCTATCGTGTCACAAAGTTTTGCAATAATATAAAAGAGTTAATTCTGTCACATTTTAATTCCATGGCAGAAATATTGCGTTTTAACATCTACTAGATAAACTGGCTACTTCTTTTTATTTCACAGCACAGTTCGTTTGTGTCTCGATAGTGTTGAATGCATTTAAGCAATTATTCTCTGGAAGACATCGGGTATAATTAGATTTCAACTTTGAGTTGGGGAAAGCGAAATCTTCCTTTGTTAACTTCGTTTTGAATTATTAAAACAAGTAGCAACAATTGCATTCATGCGAACGATTTTCATATTGAGCAAAACCAGCAACGAAACTTTCAGTACCTGTTTCAAATGCAGCATTTTCTTGCCGGTATTATCATATGAGATCTCATACAAAATAGTCGTCTCCTTTACAGAGGTTCTGAGGTAAGTTTTTGCGATTGAACTGATTTGCCAGTGCCATTCTGGAGTAAATCTATCTAGCACGAATGGCATCTCTTTCCACCTGTTGTCTTGCCACCAACGGCCTTGAGATGCCAAGTAATGAATTTAAAAGAAACTATGGTTTTAGTTGCATAAACATTTCACTAGAAACATGGATGCGTTTCAGTTAGAACAATAACGATCATAAGCATGTTCTAGAAGCATCTTCGTTTTCTCAGAAGCTGAGAAAATTTTAGTCTATCATAATAAACCGGCAAAATGTGACTACTGCGTTTATGTTTGCTGAGGTCAGGGACGCGACTAACCGTTCCAAGTTTACCGAAGTCAAATTTACTGGATCACTGGTGTTTCAGGCTTAATATATCATGTATTTGCTACACCTATGAAAAAGAGTTGAAAAGTCAACAACAATTTGACAAAAACTTCCCCGATGTATATCAGTTTCCAAAAACCCAGTCGTTAGTGAATAAAATAGTTTATATCGATTTTTTATAAATAGAATTGGCACTATCGAATACGGATTCCGGATAATTGCAAAACCATCTTATTAGTAGATTACAGCAAATATTTTCCTACTTGAAAGTAATTTATAGGTATTTATATGATACAACTGTTAAAGTCTTTAATCCGATTTGCTTGATTGATTACACCACTTTGAAACTTCACTTTCTTGTCTCTGAATAACAAGACTGGCACTTCAAGAAGATTGAAGTTATCGCGTCAGCTGAGTCAGTTCAAACTTAGTATGTACGTTTGTGTGTGCAGAAGCGTGTGTAAAATAGTAGAAGGCGAAGAGATTACAGAGCGGCCGCAGTAGTTCTTGCGAAGCCGTAGTGGTAGGGCGTGCTTCGGAATACTTCACTGCGTGACTGCCGCCATTCTGCTCTTGTGCCGTGCTATGAAATGAATATTATTGTAGCTAGATATCTTTGCCTATCGATACCAGTTATAGTTAAAATGTCAACATATTTTATACGATTTTCTTTCTTCAAATTTACTCTGAAGAAATTTTTTCACGATTCAATATGGAGTGCTTGAGCTTCATATTACGTGATGACTGATTACTTGATTTCTGCTGCTCAAGTTTGCGAAGGGAGACAAGCATAGTTCACGCTCTCTATTTTGCGGAGCAAAAAATTTCCCATTTCTTGTTTAAAGTATAAGTACTTCGTTAGTTTTTAGAAGAAATGGAGAACTGTTGAACGCTCGTGACAATCGTTGCTACTTGCAAGTGAGCTCTATTTTGGGTGACAGTCTGCTGAACCTCTAAGAACTGAGGGCACCAGTCAGCTGATCTCGCTCTTTCGGCCACTGTGTTTGATGTCGCTAAGTAAATTTATAAGATCCAAAATTTCCGTGCGCTTAGCCGACATTCTTTATGCTTGCGCTTTATAGCATTCATCACCTCTACTTGGGACTATTTAACTATTTTAGTTTCGAAGGTGTTCTTGCTTTGCGTGACGCATGATGTGCGCGGCGTGCTCGCTACCGAGTGTCAACTTGTATTGTGCAGAAGTAAATTAGGCTCGAGTAGAGAGATAAGTACGAGTGCACATGGACTTGTTAACGTATGTTCGGTCACACTGCTAATCCGCAATGTAAGCCTACTGGAGCTTTTTGTTGTATTGCATCAGCATGCAAGTTTCATTTGCAGTGCATATAGCACTTCAGATTTCTACCAAATCATATCGTATTTTTTAATTCAGTCATAACTATTGCTTCCGCATAATCCTTGCAATATAAACGTCATCATATGTTACGAAGTACGATCCAAATGCATATGCGTTTGGATTTATACGATGTAAATTAAACTTGGAAGTAAACTGGTTTTACCCTATAAATAAATTTTAGACATGTTTTGCAATAGTGTTTTGAAATTTATTTTGTTCAGCCATAAACAGAAAATTTGTTTTGAATTTTTTTTTCAAAACTGCATAGACTGTTTTCAGGCATATATTTATCTATTATCTTAATTTAATTGAAGAATGATAACCAATTTTATTCATTTACTATTTAAGTTTAAATCTTTTCATTAGCCAATTAAACAAGGTTTATGAAATGAATTCTAAATGAATTGATCTGATGCTTGAATTATTCATGAGATGTGATTGGCAAGTGTAGGCTAATGTATTGTAATGCAGCCAATGACTGCCTTCCTGCCTGCTCTGCTTTACCTCAGCTTTTGCTGCCTTCATGCCTGACTCCTGAACTACAGTAAAAGTCTAGCAAGATCGTCATAATCATAGCTGCAATTGATGTAATATGATGCTTAAAATAAGTGATAAGAGTATTGCGTTCTCCATAACAGTCCAGCATCAAACAGCAAATCAAGCATTTGATAGTATCCTACCTGAATATATTCAATTTAGTGTTTTTAATTTTGTAACTTCTCTTTGTTTGGTGTTAAGATTCAGATGAATTGACAGTCTGCTTACATTATATTTTCTGTTTATAGATATGGCAACAAATTGTTCATTGCCTAATATGGATCAACTGTTCCAATTGCATTCACTGAATACATTTTGTAACCATTTTCATGATGTCAATTAATTTTTTCAGAATGGCCTCTATTTCTTTGATTAAGCACCTAAAAGTTTCTGAAATAATTCTCCTGCAAACTTAACTTTCAAAAATCGGTTGAAGCACAGATTTGATTTCTTTGAGCTTGCGTGGCATTGTAAGCGATTAAGACACACAAAATGAACGGCGACGAGAAAGCCGTAGAGAGAATGTCTCCTGACTTGCCAATGCTGGAGCCGAGCGCTGAACTGCACGGCGCCATGGAGCACAGTGACGGCCCTACAGACTTGCGCGTCAGGCGGAAGGTGCGTTTCATCCTTTACCAACCTAACCTACATGTACTTATGTTTTTAAAATGAATTTTATGAAATTTTATCGTGAGTTGCTATAATGCTGAAATGTTCCAGCAATGAATTGCTATTGAGGAATTTGATGAATTGTCTTCATCAATTGAATTGAATTTGATGAATTGTGATGAGGTGTCAGGCTACCGTCCCGTTCCAAGGGTGGTGGCTCTTTAGTAACTATAAGGTTTTGTATATGTTAACCTGTGATCAGTAATTAGTGTAAGAAATTCAATATCCTTGGAAATAAACGATCGTTTTCTTACAATTTTTTATACATGTAAGCATAATTCACAAAAAATGTAATTGAATGAGAAAACGCATGTTGGTTTTACCTTGATTTTCGTCAGTGTGGAACTTCCTGCAAAATTTTTCAAGTAGGAGTTGATACATTGCTCGAGTCAGGCCTAGTTCATGCCTCTACGAAACCAGTTTGAAGATTGTTTGATGACGAAGGGTTTCTCTCCACGTGCACTCTGTAGTTTCTACTTTTATTCGTCCGCTAATTCGAGTTGTTGAGTGTTTATTCAAACCCAATCGATTTGCATGATTCATGACTGCTGATTGTGCATAATACTTCGGCGTACTGACTTCCCGATAATTGTATCCTGTAATTTTCCTTGAAATGAGATTTTTTTATTGCTCTCGTCATTTGCGGAACTTGTTGAAGCTCAGCAGGTTTAAGAAATATTTTTCGCAAGCTTTTTGTTTGTTCACTGACAGCTGAGAGTTCCTGCATGTGTTCAGCCTCATGATGATTATGTACCTTAATTTCCACACTTATTCTATGCCTTATGGAAATACACCTATGTATGTTTTTCCTCTTGAAGGTCATTAACATTATAGAGCGTAATTTTCCGTTGCAATGTGGCAATGAGGAGATTACCAACGATTGAGATTACGCTTTGAATGTCGTTATAGCAATTAACTTGCAGCACTGCGTCACTCGTGATTGTCTAATACGGACTGCCTAATTATTTTATGTTTCGTTAGATTTACCATATTCTTTATGTGTCTATCTTTGGCAAGTCATTATTGAATTTTGGAATAAATTAGTTTCCTTGGCATTATCTCGTGATCGAAAAATCAGATATTTCATCAAATTGATTGAAAATGTTAACAGTTGAATATTATTGATTTGCCCGCCGTTCATTTATCCTAGTTTCCTGAAGTTATTAATTTTCTACTTTCGAGACTTAGTTTGTAGTTCACATTGTTCATGTAGTTCTTGTTTGTAGTTCTACATCTAGGTACTAATTGGCATGTTATATAAATACTTCTCAAGTATTGATGAATGAGACTGCTTGATAAGTTAGTAAGCTCACAAACTTTTCCAATTGTTCTCAGTTACGTCCTGTGCCTCCTCCACTTGACCTGAGCAAGCGCACTCTGGTTCAGTGCCCAGAGAACGGACTGCTTCAAGCTTCCTTCTTGCCTGGTCGCCCCAGCGTACCATCACCCAGTCCCAGATCACCATTCCTGCAGAAAAATTTACCTCTTAGGAAAAGGTAGGGGATGCTCTTGTAATGACGTAAATAACTTCGAATTACGTGACTTATTTCGTTGCATGAGTGACGTTGAAGACCGACCCTGTCTCCTATGTATGCCAAATTATGTTAGTGATGCGAATAAATTAAGTGTTGTTAACTGATCTAATTTCATCTCTTGTAATGTTATTAGGTTTAAATGTTCAAGCATCAAAATGAAGCCAAACTAAATGTTCAAGGCTTAATAATTCTCGTATTAAATTGACGGCGACGGAAACTTAAAAATATCGTTTACAGAGAATGGTAACGATATTGTTTCTTTCTTAATCAAATATAAAAAGTAGGCAATATTGCCATAAGAAAACTAGTGAGAGGCTGCAACGTCTAAACACCAAGTTGCTTGATCTTGCTGTGCAGAGCACACAGCTGGTCATCACAGCCCGGCGCCCTGAGCTACAGCAGTGCCTTCACCCTGGACTCGTCTATACCTACGATCAAAGACGAGCAGCTCGAACCTGTCGACGAGGACGCGTGTTGCCGCTGCTCTAATTCTTCCCTGCGGTTTGCTGGGCTACCTACACCTCACACGCCACACACGCCTCACCCACACTCGGCTATACCCGTCCTAACGAGCAAATTCAACTTCAGTGAAGGCAACCCCGTGGCGTCGGCAGCTGCATCACACCACCATTACTCGTCTGCCCCGCTCAATCTTTCTCTGGGTGAGTATGTTTCTCAGTAGTTCGCCATCGCGCGATGACGTTTTGAATGCTGAGTACTGGTACGGCCGCTGAATTATAGGTGATCGGACTACTCAGTTTCGTAAAGCTTAATTGTTCATGTAAAGGACATTGTTTTGTTGAATGCCTTGATATTTTTACTCATATAGGTACTCGTACTGATGGATGAGTGTCTCATTTGTTTTTAATGGGTACGAATCTCACTTTTTTCGCATGGGCACGAATTTCACTTATAGTACCTATAGCAACTTCGTGAAAAGTACGAACTTATTTTAGCTCTTTATTTATCTCACATTTAGTCACTTTCGTAATTGGTTATAAAAGCAGACTGAGTAATTGTTCATGAAAATCAATTTTATAATTTCAAATGAAGTTTTATTGTCAACTTGAACATAGATGGTATTTATTTGAGCAGGAGGTGGTTTACCATCATCTCTGTTGTCACCCGCCCCTTCTCATCCGTCCACGTCATCTCTAAGCTCTTCTCGTGAGGAGCTCGAGCCTGATATTAGCGATCCGTCGTATGCCGCGCCGTTAGACTGCTCGGGCACCGTGTCTTTTGTTAATATTAACTATTTCCATTGTTCATCCCATCCGTATTGTGCTCAGCCTCGTGAACAAGAACGCACATCGCCATCAGGCAGAACTGACGAACTAAAATCGTACCATCTTCCATACCAAACATTTCATGAAAACGATTCAAACCGCTCCATGGCGTCGGCAATGATGGTTGAGCCATATTTCAAGCATGAGTACTGCTCGGATATGCTCACCACTCCCGGGCCTCCATCACATCATGATGAGTACGCTGGAGAACAAATGGTCGATCTTACCACTGCAAAGAACTCACCTGGCTGTAAAAGTGAGCGATTGGATCGCAACGTTTCTTCTCCGGGCTCAGGATGTACATGCAGCAACTGCAGTGCGCCGGGACACTTGTCTCCGTACGCACAAACCTTCCCCGATGATCGAGACTTGGGTTGGCATCGCATCGTGTGGTCGGTTTTCTTGCCTGACGTACGAATTCATTTCGCCATGGGAGAAGAGGTAAGAACCTCCAGGCTTCTGTATGTTCTGTAACCGAAACTTTGATGTTTTATTTTCTTCTGTGAAACTTTCATACGTTTTACACGAGACTTATTGACAGATGAATTAGTTTTAACTAACTGAAAATATTGTTAGATCAAAATTCTAGTTTGTCATACATTTCTCGTATCTGTTTGCTTTATTAGGAACTTCTCCATGAAGTCTTGCTCGTTTTCATGACTTTTCACTGTACTGCACCATAAGTTTACTCTCAACTATATGCCTTGCCAAGATACTGCTCTTTATTAAGCTCCCGTGCACTTTTGTACCCTTCAGCGCTATTCTTCTTACATTCACGCGTCTTAATTTTACTATGAGGCTTCTTCATTACATCCGTTGCAGGCATTTTCTATGCTCTGCCGCTGCTCAATAAGTTCCCGCGTGCAGTTTTATGCCTTAATAAGCTGTTGCTCCATAAGTTTCCTAGCAGTTATTCGCCATGTTGAGGCGCTGCTCAATAAGTTCACGCGTGTGCTGCTCATCGTATAAGGCTCATGACTGAGATTGGGATGCCATGTAGGGGCGGAAGGGCAGCCGGCGGCGCCTTATATGCGGCACAGTACACACGACGCCCAGCCTAGCGCGTCTCCCTGCCTGTACAAGTGGCAAGGTCGTTGCTTGCTTGAACTTGCCGAGCCTCTTTGGATGCTTCGCCTCGGTCTTCGGACTGATGCGTCTGCCTTTTACGGCGCACATCCTTCCTTCCTTCTTTCCTTGCTGTTTTGGTTGATGGTGCATCGTACGGCACTTTTAAGATTTGTTTGAGTATATAGTTTTTGTGACTTGTAAGAAATGTTTTGCATCAATTCCTGAAATCAGACGTTCTGAATAGCGATGCCTGTTTCAATCTTTATTTTTCGCGAACATCAAAGTTTTGGAATTTTAAATTAGAAGAACGTATGTAATTTGTTGCAAATATCTGCTGCGCACAACCGTGTGAACTTTAGCAATTCTTATATTTCAGTTTTTAAAATAGTATTCTTATTCGATGCTACTCAATTTTTTTCTTATTTCTTTTTTGTTGAATTGTTCGAAGCTACATTGCTGGCGGCGAATTTCTTCGATTTTGAGCACCCGTTCAAAATTCCGTGAAGTTACGTGTAGTCAAATCTTATAACTTACGTATCTGTAAAATTAATTACATTGACATGCAGTGATCCTTTTCATCAAACCAAGCTTGTGGTCACGCAAATGACCATGAATGGCATAAAAGTTCTGAGAAATTTTTCTCTGCTTCAATTTTACACTTGCTCGCAAAAGAAGCATTGGCAGCTGAAACACTCCATGATGCAGCCAACGAACTCACAGTATATGTGCACCGAGTCGCAATACCCTGCTGCCACGAGCAGGCATTCACAAGAGATAAACGTTTGTTTGGAACTATTGGGTAGTCCTATCCTGTGTACTGCTGTGTGTTTGGAAGACGGCAGTTTTTCGTCTTTTTATTGCTGGCAACGTTTTGAATGCCGGCAAGAATTTCAGTTATAATTTCTTCTTTCACTACATTCTGCTTGCTCGTCTCTGAGTTATTATTCTGTTTTCGCGAGTCAAAATTTACTAGCAAAGTTTTCCGTCGTGAGTTTCTGATGGCGTGTTCTTGTTCACAGATGTCGTGTATGCGACTAAGTCAGGAGCTCGGCAAGCTTGAGAAGGAGCACAAAGAACTCTACGCTTGTCATGGAGTCATTCTTCGCAAGTACTCATACGTTACACCCGGCCCTGGTGAATATTATATAATTATTATTATAATTTTGTGGTACTTTTTTGTGGTATAATTATTTTCGTGGTACTTTTTGTTTCAAGCGTTAACATGAAACATTTCCATTTCCTCTTTACTTTGGTGACATTTTACAATAGTCACTATAAACATTAATTTATTCATACCCGGATCACAAAATAAGTACCATTTCGGGTATGATTTTAATTTATTTCGAAACATTTATGCTATTATGTCATACATTTAAATTTAATTGTAATTATCCTTTGGATGAAGTGTCGAATTATTTATTATTTCACATGGCGTCAATGATGTTACAAAAACTTACCATCGTTCAAAAAACTCACATGTAATATTTTAAATTGTTTCAGAAAGTCAATACTTCAGCGAAGACTCGACGGTGCTACAGGAAAATCACCCCGAGGTGAAAATGACCTTTAGTCCCGTGGGGCTGAAGCAGCAGGACGTCTTGGCTGTGGTGCCGTGTCATCATCCCTTCTTCGTGCAGCACAGAGGTGAGTATTATATTAATAAATTAAATTAGGAATAAATTACGCTGCTCTGAATAATGCGAGTTTCCTTATACAGCTAACGAACTTCACTCAGTAGTAATCCTTATCTCGAATGTACGGTGTCACATCAAAAACTTGAATCCGAAGTTTTCCTAACTATGTTAGGAATATTACTGACTTTTTTGAACTGATTTCTGAGCTAAGTATCCTTGCTTTATCAATTCTTATTTGCAAATGGACATTCAGTGTTTCCTCTACCTTTTGTCGCAAATAATTACTATAATTTATGCTAACATTTCTTGTCATGTGTTCAGGCTGGTGCAGTACCGAGCCTGCGCTGACATTGCGAGTGCACGGATTCATGGTCTCAAAACTCTACTGCGAAGACGTCTGCCTTCCTCCCTACCACAAGAATCATGACAAGCCTTGTCTCATGTCTCATTTCAACTCCGGCACCGACGGTACAAAGCCTGCCAACCATCCTCCAGCTCTCACTCAGTTGCATCTACAAGCGCCCGCTCATCCACACAGCGATGTGGTGCACTCCACGGACCATGTGGCTGACGCCATGAGCAGGTCAGCATATATATCCTCCTGCATCAATGAGTGCCTTTAGTTTTAATGTTTGTTCCTCAACGATATTGAAACGAGAATTAAGCCTATGATATCAGTCGAAAATCGGCATTGTTACACTTGCAAGTATTGGGCCGACTTAAGAAGTTTAACAGCTTGCGAAGCGTTTATAAGATTGACTGATGTAGGAAATTTAAGCTCAAGCCACTAGAGATGGTACTCATATTAGATTTTTTTACTGATTTCTTACTCAAGTTAGCTCAAGATTATATCCTAACAAGAACCAGGCAAATGTGTTCGAAAAACTTGAACTGACATTGGTGTTGCCATAAAGCTGGCCTACAACCACCAACCGTTAAAAATTTTTAATTTAACTTGAAGTTCAGTTAAACTCCGTTTGTTTCATTACCTTATCTACTAAATAGTATCTACGACATAGTAGAGGAGCAAATAGTTACCTAAAAATACATTAATCTACTTGTGTGTATGAGTGAGTTTGTGGAATACTAATTTGAATATTCCTGCAGGTTTGATTTCAATGACGACCCTTTGCACGACACTTCAGTGATAACCGAGCGAGGTGAATTATTGAACACTCAGCAGTTCCTGCCAACAACCCCCTTCACGGGAGCGTCATTTGTTCAGTATGCGCCGCCCTCCTCACATGGCCTGGCGGTCCCCCAGCCTTACAACCCTGCCATCCCTCACAGGTCGGGGCTTCTCTCCCCACCGGCGTCGCCCTCAAAGAAAAGCAGCCACGCTAACGGTGCCGCGCCCTCTAAACCTAGGCGGCCTATGAACGGTTTTATGCTCTTTGCTAAACGCCACAGACTCAAACTCATCCAGCAGCATCCGGGCAAAGATAACAGGTAAGCTTCTCCAAATACTAGAAATAGTTTTTTGGTTAACGAGAATTTCATTCAGATTAGGTTTTTTATTTCAGTCTGATTAGGAGACCGAAATATCGGTCTCAATGAGGAATAATTTAGAAAACCGTCGAATCACGTGAAATTTCTTTTTTACCTAAAAGCCCGTCTAGAATTTTTTTCCATATGCCTGTTTTGAAAACAAATTTTGTTTTTAGCTATATGAGTTCAATCTAGTTACCAGTACATTCAATCTACTCCATAGTTTGATGCAGTCATTCCTCCTTGCTTTGGGTTGACATTTTGTCTTGTGTTGCAGGGCGATCAGTGTGCTGCTTGGCGGCACCTGGAAAGCACTTCCAGATTACGAGCGCGAGCGCTACAACAACGAAGCTCGTCTGCAGGCCGAGCAAATGAAGAAAATCGATCCTGATTGCTGGAAAAGAAAAAGATCTCATTCTACATGCTAAACACGTAATATTTTTGACTGATAATTCCCATGAGAAGAAAGTGATTTGATTTACTTTACCGCATTCATTTCCAAACGAAATGTGTTCGATGGAAAGTGTCCTAAAATCTAGGTGAATGTATATGATATCTTGGGCCTGCTTACTAAGATTTACATTGAATTTACTACAATAATACTAAAGTTCAATGTATTTTCCTGCTTAATGTGAACTTTTACGATTAAAATTGTGTACACCGCTTATGAAACTTAGAGATTCTATAGGTGGCGGAAAAAGTAGAAAAAATACCATACCTACTTTGCTTTGAACAGAGAAAATCTGTTAGAAAGCAACTTCTTGTATGGCCATGATGATGTCATAAGTGATCTACATTTGAAGTTTTGAACCAACTTGGCTTTGGAGTGTCCATGTCTCTTTTCTATCAGCTCTCAGGTCGTGATATTTAGTTGCGGTATTCAGGAGAAACGCACATACATCAACGATTTTAATTCTTCTGTTACTTGTATCTCGATTACCATATTCCTAACTCTCGACCCAATTGCTGAAAATCATATAAAATCCTTCAGCAGGTATTAAATAGTAATCTTTATCATACTGATGTTCATCAGCCTATCTTTTCCATTTAATTTCAAAGTGAAAATCCAAACTAAATTAGCTGTGGAATTCGCGCATAAAGCCGTCTCCAAGACTTTTATTTACTTGTATTTTAGATTGTCTTGTTATCGATTGCGGGATGTATCTATCTGAAGTGAAGACTACTAAATGAAACTTAACATAAACCAGAACTTCAGTTGCAGCAGACCTCTAATGCTATGTAAATACTAGTAGGTGCAATTCACGAAGTGCGCAAGTCGTGAGATGTTACAAAGTCTGTCAATTTTACCGATCCCTCGGCCGGTCATGGCTACGGGATCGAAGCACTGTATTTTGGCTCGATTATTCACTTACAAGATGTTTGGCATCGCGTTCATGACTACACATTCTGTTTAGCTTTACAAACCATTAGATGCCTACGAGATCACTGTGGACTTACAGGGAGAATTTGCGTAATATTGAGTGTCCTCGTATTCATTATAGTTGTATACTTTTATTATTAAGTTCGTACATTACGTACCCGATATTCCTAAACTTGTTGGCAGCTGTTTCTGTATTATTATAATTATTATTTTAATAATTATTATTATTATTTACTTTTATCGGTAATAATTAAGTTTATTTTTTACTTTAAACTCGTCGGTCGGTCACTACTCCAAAAAGTCTTTCCTGTTCGACGAAACCAGTTTGTGTTCCGTTGACAAGCTGTAATTTACGGCATCTACGTTGCGATGGAGCACTCGTTTTGTGATTCATACCTGAAGTTATTAGTCGTATTTCTGTTGAATAATTTGACATTTACTAGTATCTGCGTATCTAGCATGTACATTCTGCTGCAAGAATGTTTCAGGTGAACTGAAAACAGTTTCTTGGAGCGTTTGTTAGAATGTTTTGTTTTGTATTTTAGGAGCGCAAATCTTGTATGTTGATGTTGATTGTGTTTGAAATGCATTACATTCATGTGGGTGAATTCATCAGAATATAAGTTGATGGAATTTGTTTCTTATATCTAATTTTACAAGCCTTGACCTACCGTGCGACTCTTTGTGTGAGATTTGTAAAAAGCGAGTTTCCTAAGTTATCTTACTTTTAATTTAGAATTGAACTTGCTTTATACTGCATTGTTTTATTTTATTCTGCATTCTGAAATCGAGTTGTTTTGAATTGTGTCTGTACGTGCATTTCAAATGGGAATCCTTATACGGAAAGTCTAATTTTTACGTTGGATATTTTTGTATCTACTCTCATTGACTTTAGACGTGAAATTCAGTTTCTCTCTTCAGATCGCACTATTAATTATAAATCCCATGTGTGTCTCACTACTCCACACATTTTGACCAAGTTCTCTAGGACATTTTATTGCATTCAGTTTTCATTCTTTTTAATTTTTTTCTATTTTTTATTTGTGACCGCTTCAACGAATGTCGGTCTGGGCGACAATTACTATCGAATATGAGGTTCAATTTTATATTTGAGTTCTCCTAGATTAATTGATTATTATCTACGATTTCATGATGAACTTTTTTGCGTTGAAATTAATGGCTCCCGAGCAAGTGATAAACTATAATAGCTTATCTATCATAAGAAACTATAAGGATTAATGAACTACTATCAAGAGATCTCTGTATTTTTCTATGGTATCAGTTGGCAAATGAATTTCCCTGTTGAATCGTCCAGTGCAGTAGATATTCTCCTTTCCAAGCTGGCACTGGGCTTTAGAACTTATCGTCAGCAAATAATTCTAACAAATAACTTAGTACAATCGCAGACTTCTTCCCTATATGCTATGTGATGAAGCGTACATGTGATCGTAGTAAACTGGAATTGCTTTGTTTGTTCCATGTAAATGTAAAAGAGTTTGTAAACTAAGTGGTATATGTCTGAACGTACGACGTTCTTTGTTGTTTCGAAATCTAAAATAAATTTATTTTCGTACACAAATAATGTACTGAAATCAAGATGGTAATTTTGTACATTTATTTATGTGTAAAAAGAGAGTAGATTTAACCTTACAATAAATCCGCAATTTGACTCACTTGGGATAGAAAAAGTTATCAATGGCCAACAAAGACAATTTTTTAGCACACTAGAGATGAGGTGTGTGAAATCAGCGTATACCGTTGTGGTCTAGACGAATTCTAAAGTTTATACTGTTACTTTATTTGGCATACGGAATCTTTCTCTATTACTCTTGTATAAATAAAGCTGTGCTTTCATAACTCATGTTAAATGATAATTGAGTTAGCATATGTGTAGATAATCTGGGGATAAACATTTAATTTAGTCTTTTAATCATGTAAACTGGGGCAGTAATGCTGTTAAAGAAGCGTATAGAATATTGCAATGCCTTCGTGCAGATCATTTAATTGTTATTCGACTCGAGTAAGAAATTTATTATTTTGACTACTGGCGATCATTGTGTAAAGGAGTTCTCTCACTTTTATCGAAGGATTTTGTGAACACGTTCTATGTTGTAGAACAGAAAGATCTTCCTGATAACAGTAGGAGAATGGTCAAGACCTGGGACGATATTGTTATTTATTACGACTTGAAATTTTAGATAAGTATCTTTATTGTGTGCCAAAATGTGCTCTTCACAATGATGGTACTCTTCACAACGTACAGGTATGTCCAGCATGTCGCTTTAAGTAATAGGTTCTGCTTCCGCCACAGAATTTGTTCACTTGCTAAGTGTTTGCTATTTTAAGTTGATGTGCCTCGAAGTGTCGAAATTTCTCCTCGATGAATCGTATATTATAGACATTATTGAACCACTGTACATTCTTGATCATTTTTACTCTTAAAAGTTAGCTTTTATTTTATAAAATTAACAGGACTATGCTTTAGCACTCCCCATCATTTCGGAAGAAACTTGTTTAGAATGTATTTACAATTTTATTTACAGTTTTCAATTGTAAATTCCATAGAATTATGAATATTGGTGCAAATTCAGTTGTAGCCGTTACTTCTCACTCATGTCATAATTTTCGTAGTGCTTTTTGGAAAGATCGCTGCCATTGAGATCAAAGCGCTGTGAACAGTCCCAAGTTATAGGATGTGATGAAAAAGGCTAATGGCATTTATTTTTCGTCTTGCTGTTCGTGCGCATAGTGTAAGATATAAAATTACCGAGCCTCTACTGCTGTAGAACTTACTGCTAAGCAGCGTTATAATAATATTGCGTTTCATAACATCATTTTATTACTTCTTAGTATAACGCGGTCGGCCGAAGTACCTACCTCATATGTACGCTTGTACTCACGGTGATATCATGATGACGTTGACATCATGATTACGAGTTTCAGCCTTCAACTTTTGAACAGAAAACTCGAGTTGTATCATTGTGCAGATTGGATTTTACTTTGATCTTCGTGCTTCCTTCTGCAATTGAAAGTTTGTTGGAATTGCTAAGAAACGTGCTCATGTATAATTATTTCCCGACCTATCAGATTCGGTGCTTGTGATATCTTGATCTGTTGATTGAATTTGCTTTGAATTTCTCGCGTCGTGATCTCATGCAAGTAAAGATGTCCTTGCACTCCTTCAGATTCGGTGAGCCATTCCGGCTAAGGTCACATCTCAAATTATCAATGGAAATTAAATTGGTGTCTACGGTGTCACGAATCACGAGTCGTGCTTGTATTTTCTGTGAATCGTGCTTGTATTTGCTTGTATTTTTGTCGGACTCCGTACCGCATTGGTCGAGTGAACCAAACTGTATGTGCGCCTAGATTAAATGTTTCATTGAGAGTCTTCAGTCTTGTATATGTAAATTTTAAGCAACGCCGATGCTTCCAGAATGATCAACGTTTCATTATAAATATGTGCTCAATATTGGCAAACAAGCGCTGTGTACTATTTTATTCGAACCTTTAATGTGTAAATACGCTTCATATATCTTTTTCAGCTCTGTGATGCAACATTTAGCAATTCATACTAACTTTACCCTCTCGATATGCTATATTTTGGGCTCAAAGTGAAATACAGAACAGCGTATTTTCATATGTAGTAAGTGTATAATTCTTTCGTTGTTGTAATGACTGTTGGAAGCCGTCTCTGCTCCTGACATTTTTCCGCATCTCAGCCTGTTTCTCAAACGAAATTTTGCTATTTTTACATGCGTAAAAATGGCACGTAATTTCTATTTTTTTATACTTCATATTCTTCATTGAATAAAATTATAGCGTTTATAGTTCTCTGGCGAGGCGAATTATATAAAAGCTACATTTTTGTTCATTTTACATGGTTTTTAGATGCCGTAACTTATTGCAATATTTTACAACAAACTCAGCACCTAATTATTTATTTTTAATCATTCTGTAACGCAGATAATATAGTTTATATTTACCTCGATACCATGTCGTAGTTTGAAGTTTTGCAACTTGACTCAACCTTCGTTTCATCTTTATAAGCGGAATTTGAATTTTATGGGTTAATTAGATCCAATATCTAGAAGGTGGGAACAGTTTTCTCCTGGTCTAGCATTGTGTAGATGTGGACATGCCACATGTTTAATTATTTTCATAAATTAAATAAAAAGAATCGTATGATCATGAGCTCAAGTTTCTATGAGATTTGTTAATGTAATGTAATTACGTTGATGTTGGTGTCGGTATAAGTTATAGTGTGGCCTGTGTTATATTTGTCGATTTGTTATTGTCTTATGTAAATATTGTTACCTGCGGCATGTTCCTTTGCTTCCTCTTATCGTTACTTCGGAATAATACTCAGTTTTCGTTACAGCTGATTAAGGCTATTTTTATATTTTTGTTACGAATATGTCTAGCATTCTTCTTTGGTGAATGGCCTTCATTATAATATTCCTTGGATTTCTTGCGCGTCGTTGAATGAATTGTCAAAGATAAAATTGCTAAGCTTTCGTTGTGTTGATTTCAGTTCTCCATTCTGTTTCACATTTGATAAGCTGGCATTAAACTTTTCAAGAGTTTGCTGATTTATTTTTACCCATGAAAACTGCTACAGGAAGCAAAATAATCTATTTCCCTGATCTTGACTTCTTAATCATTACCCACGTGCCGATTAATGAGCGTTCTGTTCAATTAATCGTGTAAGATACGCCGCAGTGCACGTGTGAGCTCATGCATGTGCAATTTGTGAAAATTTGTGCAGCATGAGTGCTCTTTTTCACTAAAAACCCGCTTGGTAATGAACGTGCAATTATAAGTCATAATGAAGCAGCTTGTGCTGTTGAAATTCGAAAAGAAGCTCTTAAGGTTTTTTATTTATTTTTTTTTTTTTTCGCCCCAGAATTGTCATCTGACGCGTGTGATGGCTCGTCGGCAGTCTGGTGGTGTAAAGGCCCGTTTACACTAGTGACAACGACATGCGCTTTGAGTCGTTTGCTGCAGTGCCTCACAGCGCACAACCGTTTACACTACTTTTCTACTCGGTTGTTTGAGACCGCGCGCTTTGAACACTAGTTGCCACCTAGACGTCAAAGAGGATGGATGTCACCGAATTTGAACTGTGGGCCATTGTTCTCGGGTGTGTTGCGGTCCGTCATTCTGCGCACTATGCCATTTGTAAACGAGAACTCAGCATAGGCATCATAATTAGAGAAGTAGCACATTCAAAAACATACAGTTTATAAAAAATATAGTCTATTCTTAAATAAAAAGCTCCAATATTCGTACCGATATTACATCATCCTTTGAAATCGCTAAACGGTAATGCATAAATTGTCAGGAGTTGCTAAAATCACATAAACTAAGCACGTCATGTAAAAATAACTTACATCATTTGTATTTAGATTTTTGGACTCCTTTGACCGAACACTCCATAGACATTCATGTTCTCTATAAAGATCAATTAGGCTCTCTACTAGAGAGTGACTCCAAACGAGAGTGGTGCTTAGTCGACATTTGGAGTGCCGGACCAGCGTACACAATCAACCTTACTAGACCACAGACATCTATCTACTAACTAAGAATTTAAAAGAAAAGAATAGTCCACAAAAATTCATATCTTTATAGCAAACGTTTCGGAGACCAGCTCCATAGTCAGTTCGTAGAATCTAGAATCATAAATTAATACATGGAAACCATAGAACGAATTGAATTTCTTTAATTGATTAATTTAGATTTTCAATTTGATTTAAATTTTTAATTCAATTTAAATTCTTAGTTAATTTGCGATTTAAGCATACAAGTGATATCAATTCTTTAATTATAGCTATCTACTAAGCGCCGCGCTTGTGTTGCATGAGGCATGGCCCCTGTCAATCGCTAGCTCGTCAATCGGTCAAGAAGCGCATGCAGAGGCTGCAAAGCGCCTCTGCATGCGCTTTGAGGCACTTGACTCTCGTGTGTTGCCCCTAGTGTAAACGGGCCTTAAGACTCAGCTCGCGAATTCCAACTTCGGATGTGGCGTCAAGTTCTTACGTAGGAAAAATTTGCGCACTCTACTCAGTCTCTTCCCCAAGGGTGGCTGACGCTCTGTTGTGCAGGCGATATATACTATGAGTTACTTGGTTACCTTTGCTGTTCACGGTTTTTTTTCTGTTCACCGTCCTCGTCCTAGTGAAGGTCCTCATGGCAAGTTTTTTTTTTCAGTTATTGCGTGCTTGCCATACGGGCAATAACACTACTCGTAGACCTACAAGTATTCGTAATAATTTCGGAAGATTTGCAAATTTTGGACTTCCACCATTTTGCGTAAATACGGCCTTCTTACTTACGACGCGAGTTCTGTTCTCCTAAAATATCTTCGCGAAAATTTAAATGCTATTTTTACCATTCAATTTAACTGGTAACTGGTAAAGTCAAAGAACAAATGTAATTATCTGCCGTAAGAAGACGGATCTGTTAGAAGAAAAGGAAATTAATGAGTCCCATGAACCAATAAGCTTTGTTTGATCCACTTACTCTACACTTGGTCAAAGTTGTTGCCATTAATTGATTTTTATGCGCATCTTACTCTATAAAATGGGATATACGTAAAAATTAAAATTTTTCTATACGACATTGCAAATATTGATAAATGATTGTGGAGAACCTAAAAAAAGTGTCGAATTGAATTCCAGAAGCCCTTGTCCAAACCCGCTGCTAACAAAACCAAGAAAAACAGAAAAGCTGAGAGGTAAAGCAAAGCACCAGTCACAGTCTCACAGACTCACAGTCAGTCGGTGAGCGGCGTTCTGTAGGAGTGGGTGTGTGAATTGGCGCTGCGATGGAGGCGAAAGGTAGTCCACATCGGATTCCCTTTTCTTCTCGAACATCTAACTTTTTGTACGGGAGTTCTCATTTGTTGATTCTCACTCTCTCATTTGCGCTGTATTGGGCTGAAGGTGATGCTTATTTTGCCGACTGGGGAGATATCGGTCGCGCGCAAGAACCAACGTGTGTGGACATCCCAAAGAACATGTCTCTTTGCTCAAACATCCAGTACGAAAGGATGAGGCTACCTAACCTTCTGGCACACGACACGTTGACGGAGGTGGCTCATCAGAGTGCCTCATGGGTGCCACTTTTAAATATACGATGCCATCCTGACACGCAACTCTTTCTTTGCTCCCTTTTCACTCCCGTGTGCTTGGAACGACCCATTTACCCCTGCCGCAGCCTCTGTTCCTCTGTGCAAACCGCCTGCGAGAAAAGGATGACGGCGTACGGATACCACTGGCCCGACATGTTAAAATGCGATAACTTCCCCGAGGACAACGATATGTGCCTGAAAGCATTGCACTCGGAGAGCGGTGCTGTCGAGGGGCACCAGCAGACAGGTAAGAATGCAGTAATCAATGCTGGCGTTGACATTTTTTACCCAAATATCATCCGTTGAGAATACAAAATGTGCCTCGCCTAAGCCCGGGGAAACAAGTGGAACCCATTATTATTAAAAAGACTATAAAAAGTCATTTGCTGTTCTCTAGCGGGTAGATTGCTCTTTAATTTCTGCAATATAAAGCTATCAGGTCTCACCTTTACTGAGGTCCTGCCGTTCCTTTAACATTTGATTGATTTATTTTCTGATTGCTTTCGTTGTGGAAGCATTCACTTTCACGCGCCCTATTTCAGCCCGAGGCTAAGACTCGTAGGTGACAGCCCCGAGCAACCGCGGGAATTTTTTAATTTTTAATTAATGCATTGTCTCTGCGTTATGCGAGCTACTCGTGATTATGACGATTATTTCTATGTCTTACATTGCACTACGACTCCATTATGTTGTAAAGTTGTAAACTACTTTTGATTTGGGTAATGTGTCTCGTAGAATGATTTTATATTAAAATAGTGTGCATAAACGCCTCATATATTATAATTACTTCGTTACCTTTGGAAGTGTTTTTTGATACACGGAGGGCCTGTGTTTTATTTCGTATTCTGATTACCAAGCAAATACCGTAACATATCGCGACTAGCTATTCGATTCTTATAACTGATTCGTTTTCAATAACTACGTACCTAGGTCAATTACTTTCGGATTATTTTACTGCAATGATTATGATAATGAACAGTCCGTATGAGTACAGTTAGCAGTACATTTATTGTGCTTAACTCGAAAATAATTAATTATTTTCAGGGTACTTACTTTAAAGAATTTCTCCATTCCCGTAAGTTCAAGTGGCACAACAAATCCTTGAAATCTTAACTAGTAGGTAGTAATCTATCAAACCTGTTGAAGTGTAATGCCCTGCTAGTTTAGGTCGACAGACTCATAGTGTGCATCGAGACGGTCGTAAATATCCTCAATGACGCACTAACGAATTGATATATGGCCCTTGACGAGATGGCGTCCGGCGTGATGGGTCTTTTACTTAAGAATGCACTCTAAATCTGGAGAACAGGCGCTCTTTGATATTCGAGTGCTCCATGTCGCTTTTAATTGTTGAATTTCGGCTATTTCTTCATGATTCTATTTGCTGGTCATTGAAGCATGAATGCACAGTTCAAGTTAGAATCTAGACTCATACTTTTGCAGGAGTTTTTAGTTAATTGAGGTTAAACCGGTTTAATATAATTAAAAGGTATCTGTGGCATTTAATCAGTTTTATCTCTGACAGCAATTCACAGGTTTTTATATCCCAAATTTGCTGTGTTAATTAGACAAACGATCTTCTTGGTAGAGTAGCATTTTTAGATTGTTTTTGTAAGTTTTTTTTTATTTAGATATTTAGATTGTTCTCGGTATATAACGTAGCCTTCAGCAGAAACTCATTTTTATTGTTGATTCCATTCAATTAATTTCGATCAATAGTTGTTGGCAGCATACTTTGAACTGTTTATTTCTTCAATGAATTATTGCTAATAATTCATTGCTCAAGATATTTATTTAATATAGTAATTCATTTTGGCAGGCATTTTAGTTAGCTGCCTTAACAAGTTTGGATCCGCGTAAAACATTCCTCAGCTGGAATAATCTCTTGAAGTTTGTTTCTGTCATTCAGATAGTTACAATCCATTATTCCAAGTCGCCAGCCCAGAATGATCACGCAACTCTCTTCTTGCCTTAGCTGACTCACAAGGCGCCAACTGATCTGATAAATTAAAAAGTGTTACTGTCATCTTCCTTGTCAAAGGTTATTTTTTCGTCCTGCAGATGTATGTCGTCATCAAGGTTTTTTGTTTATATTGCAGATATTAATTTCAAATTATTCATCACAAATTATATCTCCCCGGTTGGCCAATAGAGGGTGCTGGCGCCGATGTAATGTTGGACAGGCTGTGGTGTTTTGATCATTTCCTATGCTGGGCGTATTATAATCGTTGACGCGGCAATGCGGGAGTCGTCCGTCACTTGTTTTAGGAAGCCGCGGTGCCGTCACTCCTCATTTCCCGCGCGTCCGGTGAACTCTTCAATGGATCCTTTAGTCCACACTCCCAAAAGTGATCTCTCTCTCATATTTTATATCTGTTAATAAAATGTGTTTAACGTCTACGGAGTGCTTCTAGCATTGTTCCCCAATGGCACAATTTTTCGAGCTGCATTAATTATTAATTTATTAGGTTCAATTCATGAGCGATGCTGTCTTGATTTATAAGTGAATAAATATATTTATACTGTAATATATTTTATTTGTTTATTAGATGCATTCGTGTTGTTATAGTGCCTTAACCCCTACATTCCATGTTTTTATTGTGATAAAATGCATCATTATCAGCTAACTCTCTTGTTCTTTTATTTTCTCAAATGGGATGATCAGCAATTTTTATTTATGTTGTTTGAACAAAAATTAGCTCACAGTTATCATTTATTACGCTCTTCATGTAATTTTTTCTTTCACCCAGACTTTCAGCACTCAAACTTTCATTACGACGCTTGATTTACCGCTTGCTTAGTGAACTTGCTTTCTAAACCGGTGATTACTTGCTTAACATCGAATATGATTTCCAAGTTTGGTGTGCTTATATCAACCGCCAACTCACCCAATTTCGCTTATTTTCAGAGAGCCCTGACAACACCACGCGTGAGTACCCCACAAATTTGCTCATTTCACTCGCATGTATATTTCTGCAACGAAGCGTGACTTCGCATGTTCTGTATTCTTCATCGTTCTCATCCACTTCTCAAATAACTGGCAGGGCAATCGCTTGTTCTGCAGTTCTCCTTCATCATTCTTATCCACTGTTCACGTCACGGGCATGACGATTCTGTTCATTTCGGTGTAATTATCAAGCAATAATTAATGAGTTAAGAAGCCAACCAATCGCCCTTTCAACTTTTAACTTTTACTCATACTTTCATCTTTACCTTAGGTAGGTACTTCAAATCGTCTTTTATTTATTTTTTGTTTCATTGTAAGATGATGCATTTTTTAATTAAAAATTTGCAGTCGAATTCAAATTAAGTTTTTTGTGTATGAAGATTTTCACGGATTTTTATTTTTGCATAACTTCTATACACATCGGTTTTCTGTGCAGCATTCAGTCGTTTCAATTACTATTGGAAGACTAATCCATTAATTTATTCCTGAAAACTTGATGCTAAAAACTACAATACTCCTTCATTGAAATAGAAAATTTTCTAGAAATGTAAGCTGAATTAAAATGTTTTACTTAAGTTCTTGAATTAAACTTCGCTAGTTTCCTTCGTGTCTTAATAGCTTGATATTTCTTAAATGCAATTAAATGTTGATTTCATGTGCATAGACGTCTTCATAGATTCGCATGCCAGTCAAGGACCGGATGTCTGAATCACCGGAAATAGCCAGTCCTGACTAAACCACATATGTATATGAGGCGTGTAATAAACTGGTTTGCTTCCATTAAATGTAGTTGAGAAAATGGCTGAATCTGTTGTGTGCTATTTTAATTTATACGTTTACGATATTTCGCTGAAATCGGAATGCAAAAATTACATTGAGACGTGAGAATTTAGTTATAATCAACTGTAGTTTGATCTTTTATAGTATTCTGCCTAGGATTTTTGGCGACTAAGAGCAGGAGCACCTAAAACACTAGATTCACGACGCAGTTGGTACAAACGCTTTTAAATTAGGAGTTAAATTGAAACGGGATGAGTAACACGTCTTCGCACGCAGCATCTTCGACGCTTCTTATAGTGTGAATAGTTTGCATGGTTTTATGGAAATGGTTTTATGAATAGTATGAATTTTTTTGCGAGGAGACTCACGAACAAAAAATAGTTAAATTGGGTTTACTTTTCGAAGCCATTCATGTACCTACTAGTAATATTTATGATGTTCAACGAAACAATTCAACTGATGATGCTCTGCGCATCATTCCCTCGAGGCCAATCTTAAATTTCCTATAAAATTATCAATCCAACTGATTTCTATAGCCTTAACTTCTTCTAAATTTAAACTAAAGATGTTCTTCATCCAGATTCATTTTTTTTCAAATTTTTGTGTAAATTTTGGATTTAGTTTACTGAATTTTAGACTCCATTAACGGGCATTCACGAAATATCAAATTCAAAAATAATTCTTAGATATTGTCGAATTTTCTTCTGAAGCATGAGTATCCAGGTGTAGTGCTGCTAACTGTTCTTGCCGAGGCTGAGGTCTGTATTGATCACGGCAAGGTGCAAAATTTGGATGCCTGCCAACTCACCGCATCTCCTTAGACCTTCCAGTTGAGCTGTAAATAAATCTCAAGATCAATATACCCGCCCGGGCTGTATTCTCAAATTTTTCTACCGCATTCTGGTGCCTATTTTTTCCGTTTCGTAAAATCTTCTTTCATAATTACCGACATAAAATTCAACTTTTTCATCACCTGGTCTTTGCTTGGTTGCTCGCCCTTGCTTGTCATTTGCCCCACACTGATTCATTTTCCTTATTATACCCATGATTATTTTATTTCAGGGCACTCATTAAAAATCGGAGTCGCTTCCCCTGAAGCACGACCCTCCGCCTGCTCCTATTATGTTGTGCCAGTATTGTTTTAAGTAGTGAAATGCTTACGTTTGATCCTATATGTCTTCCTTTTCCCATAAGTGTAGTTCATTTCCGCACATTATACAACGATTCTTTTTAATTATCTATAACATTTCTCATTGCCCTTCGATATGAACGGCTGAAATCACTGCTGAATTGAAGTTCTCTCTATCGTCAATGAGTTTGGTGCAATATTACATTGTAAAAATGATATGGGTTTAAAAATTACTTTTTAAAGACAACACTTCCAAAGAATCCAGTGTCTCCAATCTTACAGATGAACAATGAATTTCTCATTTAATTTTCGAATTAAAAAATTAGTTTTTCAATTTTTTTAATATATAAGTTTTTTAATGTATAATTTTTTTCAAAATTAATTATTCTATTAATTGATTCATGCATTGCCTCTTACTTCATACAAGTGTGCAAAATTTCAGATCAATTAGACAGGTAAAAGTCTGTCAAATATCAGTTATAAGATTTGTAGCTGACAAAATTATTTTTTCAAGTTTTTTAATATTGAAAAAAAAATTTCAACTTTTAAAATCATTTATTTTCTCATTTGATTCATGCATTGTCTCCAACTTTACACAAGTGTGCAAAATTTCAGATCGATAGGACAAGTAGAAGTGTATTAAATTTCGAATACAAGATTTGTAGCAGACAGACAAACAAACAAACAAACAGGAAAGAAGTGAAGTTAAAGAGAAGTGTTGTAATAAATAAATATATTTGTCTATACGAAACTCTGTCTCGTGTGCTGGACTAAGGCATTTCCCTTGTTTTTTTACACCTTCATTATCTTGTGTGTTTTTCAGCTAGTGGAAACGAGTGCGAGATATGCCAGCCCGTCCCAACATATGAAAACATTCTCGATAACTTCTGTCGCGCTGACTTTGGTGAGTTGAATATCGTTGATGAATTATTCGTTGCTGAAAATTAACTAATGGTAATCTAAAAATTTATCGTTTCGACTCCCAAAAGTGGTTCGTTTGGTTTTTTAATCTAAAAATTGTTCGTCTGATTTTTCAATCTAAAAATTGTACGTTTGGTTTTCCACATGAGGACAACCACAATTTATGACTGTTAATCAATTTATTGTTTTTTCTCTAGAAATTGAGTACCGGAACAATGCTTTATTTTAGGCCTAGCTTCGAGCAAAGCTAGGCTGTTCTGGTGGAGGCGTTACTGTTTGATAAGGGCTCATCCGTCCTCAGCTGGACTTCACAGAGCGACAAGCTTAACTGACAGGCGGACCGAGAATGTTAGCCTTGGAACTAAATAGACTAATACAGACTAACTAAACATAGAGGCACTTGCCTTAATGAAAACGACCCTTCTCGTTTGTGAACCTGATTCACGAGATACGTGAATCGCTAAAATATGACGTTGAATGCTTCTTATTTTTTCATTATTTTGTTTAAAGTCTCGCTGAGGCAAAATCGGCTTATTTGTTAAAATATTCTGGTTTCATTTTTAAAATTTTCTGGTTTCAACTTTAATTGATGAAATGTTGAAAACTGTTGATGATATGGATTCTTGTCAAGGTTTGCCCATATAAAGATTTAATCATTTCCGCTGTTCTTATTGTTTGACGATCACTTATACACGCATGGAAAATGTGATCTCAGCCGTCCACGGATGAGATACGAGGCGGTGCCTTCAACCGGTTCCAGATTTGCCGTCTCATTCGATCATGATGCTGGTCGATCTTTCTTGTCACTCGTTCTTTTTCTTTATTGTCTGTCTAGCCCATGCAAAATTTCGAATTAACCTAGCTATCTCGCCCGCATTTATGCGGAACGCAAAAGCCAGCTACCATGAGAGGTTGTCTGAAGTCACTCCCCTGCATCTTATGAGTGCATTTTTTGTGATCTTTTCGTGTGGAACGCGAGTAGTGCTTAGAAATTTCAAGTAATTGGTTTTGAAAGTAATTTCTATCCTTATAATGCAAGTTAGGAGCAAAAATATGATATTAACTTCAATTTACAAATCTCTAAATTAAAAATATCCCCAATAAATTCGGAAAACTTTGAATAACTTTGATAAACTTTTTATCCCAAATAAATTCGGAACTTATGTAAATTAATTTGTTAAATTACCAGCTCGACTATGTCACTTTAAAGATTTTACACGAAATTTACAAATCTTTAGTCTTTGACGCATATATACAAACCAAAATCAATCTTTGCCGGTAAAAAAATGTGACTCATCAGTCACGTTTGTAATTTTTCACCGTGGCATGAGTGGGCTTCAGGCCTCATTATCAACGATTGTAATTGAAAGTGTTACTGAAAATTTCTTCTTTGATCCCAAAAGTTCAATATCTTTCACTCCCTCGCCGTCACTCGTCACTCAGTATTGCAACTTCTTACTTACAGTAGACAGATGATTTAACTTGAATAACCCGATCAATTTCCTTAAGATTTACTGGACTGAGGTAATAGGAGGAGACTCGCTAGTCACATTTTGCCTCTTCTGAACCTGACATTTGCTATGTTTTGTTCCACGCATTACATGATTTTACTTGTTCATACCAGGAATTCGAGATAAAATGTTTAAATTAATCTTTCTGTGCAGTGTTACGCGCGCAAGTAAAAGGCGTCCGAGGCAACAAAATCATTGTCCGCAACGCGCGGGTTTACAAACCAAGTGAGTTTTGCATCGAGCTCTGAATCTTAATGTGAATCTAATTGCTTAGTGCTGGGACGTGGCAGCTGAATATTCGTCAATGAAGCTGCTAGCAGAGTTCAAGCTTACAACTGAGATGTTATCACTTATGATTGACCGAGGCAGTAGAACAGGTAAGACGCTTTACCGTGATCTTGGTTTCTTATATCATCGTTTCAAAGCTTTGGTTTGCTCAAAGTAACTTTCCATGCCAACCAGGTTATCATTGCGAATATTATTAGTTCCTAATTATTAGCTCACTTTTTTAATTAATTGCTACTTGAATGTACTCGTACGTATCACACTCAGATCTAGTTTATAATTATACGTAAGTTGCCAATTTGGTCAGAAAAGGTAATCGTTTACACTAATATTTTAATCGGCGGCTGTTATTTTGTGCTGTTGTATTTATTAGCTACTGATATGCATCCCTATATCAATCAGTAGCCACCACTACTTGGATCGGAGGTAATTGATGTGTGCTTGTGTTTTCTATGATTCGCTTTGATATGCACCAGTATTTTTATCATTGGTGCTATGTGTGCTGCTATTTAATGCAGAGGCTACTTGCATACACTTAAACTTTGATCTGTGAGGATTTTTTTTGCGAGTACACACTGTGTGCTCGAGTATTTTGGTAGATGGCTGTTGATTTTTTTACAGGTATTTTAATTAAAAGTTTAACGTGTGTTCTGATTTAAATCAGCGACTGCGAGCATATAAAAAGTGTTCATTTGATCTGCAACTTATATGCACTCCTACATTTGATAAGTTGATGAGTAACTATTTGTGCGCATTCACATTTTTATCAATAACTACCTGAGTGCACTACAATTTTTAAAAGCGATTATTTATGTGCACCCTTATTGTTATCAGTAACTGCTATAAATCTCTCGCAAATATTAGCAGCTAATTCTCATTTTTCCATAAAATCTGTTTTGAAGTTGCTATAGGTAGTTTACATTGCTTATTCGTCATCGAATTATTTCATTTTTAAGATAAATTTTCTGTTCGCATTTTAGAAGCAAACAGATCCATGACTGTTTTTGTACACCAATTTGCATTCTTGTGTCATACTTCCTGATACAAATAAGTATTTTCAACCATTTTTAGCGCATTTTCTCATTTATGGAAAAAAGGCGCTATTGTGCTTACCATGTCAGTCCGTCCGTGACTTCACGTTTTCGACGACGAGAAAATGCGCTCTCTGTCACTCACTGTAGTGACTACTGAGTTATATTTTTTTATATTTTCGTGATGTAGTGCCGTCCACGACTGACCAGCGAAGTGAGGTGAGATCTGAGCGCAGGGCGCTACGCAAACCTCGTCTCACCGTCCCGCCCGCCACGCTCACGTGTTGCTCTCAAGTCCTCAGCGACGTGAGCGTGAAGCGATACCTCATCATGGGCGTTAACTCCACCGAGGGCCTCGTGCCGACATTTGTCCTGCCGTGGCTTCGTCAGAAAGTGAGTTTCTTGTTTAAAATCCTCGGCTTTTTCCGTAAAATTGCTACGAAACACGATGAAGTTAATTTGTTGATATATATTTTTAGTTGCAGCTATGGATATGTTTGCGTACCGGTAGTGAACGTTAAACTCGCCTCTATCACAGCAAGCAGGGAAAATACTACCCCTGATCACCTTTTTTCAGTAATACATTCCAAGTCATATGTTCATTAAGATAAAGTACTGGTTTTAAGCAAACTATATGAAGACAAATAATATATGGCCTTCTAATATTGTGCAACTCTATCAATAGTAACATAAACTACACTACTTGGAAGTCTCCACTTCCCGATTCAAGAAACTCAAGAGCCTCAGAAATAAGTGTACATGCTCTTTAATGCGATATTTCGCGGAATGCATAGTTTCGTGATATCGAAAATTTAATTTTATTTTACTCTCGTGTTAGCTACACATTTTGTTATGAAATTTTGTCATAACCAGTTCATCACTTTTTAGCGCATTTTCTCATTTATGAATAAAATGCACCATTGTGCTCACCATGTCCTTTTGTCTGTCTGTCGTGTCTGTCCGTCCGTCCGTGACCTCAAGTTTTCGTCGACGAGAAAATGCGCTCTCTGTCACTCACTGCAGTGAGTACTGAGTTATATTTTTTAACATTTTAATGCAATACTTTTCACCGATCTGGTCGGCACTTATGATCCTGTATTTGACGTAGCCTTCTTTTCTACAGAGCATCCGTGACGCGATTCGTATTTTTGGGGGTCTCGACTGCAGTGATCCATCTCTATTCACACCGGACACACATAGCGGCGTCATCCTGAACACGCCCCGCGCCAGCGGTAGTCGGCAGAAAGGCAGAAACGGCGGTCGACGTGGCGGTGATCGTCGACGGAACGGAAGTCGCACCAATTCCAACCTGGTTGAAGAAATGTCCGATGACGGATCCAGAGGTGTTAGACGTCGGAATGGCGCCGGAAGAGAAGGTGAAGGCCGCCGGGGCAGGAAGAGGAAGCAAGAACGGCAAAACAAAAAATCCAGAATGGGACAACCGTCTAATGATCAGGTAGAAGAAGTACAAGATAGATCTACTAAAAAGCAAAGCCGGCAAAACGGTGGTCGAAATGAACGCCGAAGAAACCGCACAAGGGATCAACGACTTGGTCGTCAGGAAAAAGAAAGAAGGAAAGAATTCATCCGACGCAAGATTGAACAAAGTAAAATGGAAGGAAATCAACCTGAAAGGAACAACGCAGCTGAAACAATCATGAACAGCGTGTAATATTTATTCGTTAATTGATAGTTAAGTGAGACTTTAGTCTAGATGTTTTGTGCTTGAGATTAGCTTTGAAATCTTAAAAAGCGTGGGACTAAGATAGATCTATTCGTTACCCGCTACTTGCCCCCAGCTGAGCGCTTAATGAAGCTACAAGTGCAGTACTAGATTCAGCCATGAACACTTACTGTGTTATTTCTCGGTACGTCTCCAATTCGACTAGCGAGACTAGTGCTACCGCATCACGGACTGAATGATATGGTTTAAATACATTTGTTATGGACAGCTAGAGAATGAAATTACTTTTACTCCCTTTAATCCGTTTTCAAGTGGGAAGAATTCTTAAAATGCCCTAAGGTTTCAGAATTAAACTCCGTATGTTCTGTTTCAAATTTTCTCATTTTTTTGCGGGTCTATGCTGAGTTTATGTTTAATGACTGCCGTGTTTAAAAAAATCAAGTTCATTTAAGCTTCGGAGTCGTTGTCATGATTAATTTCTTCGTATCGGCAAATTTCAATATTTTTGCACACTGTTCTCGCCTCTCATGGAAATTAAATTTTCAATTTGTTATGACGTCATCGACGGATGTTTACTTGGTTTAGAATCGCGTTTTCTATTCTTTTAGAGGTGCTATTATATCGCTAATTCTTCTGTATGTCTCTTAATTATGTACCACTCGGAATTGAATAAAAATTTTATTACCATTCGAGATGTATGAGAAGAAAAATTCAGCGCTCATAGACTTCATAGAAATCTTCTTTGTTACGGTCTTTTTGTTGTAATTAATTCAACGCTTTGTGGTCACCAGCCAATTAACAGCCAATAATTGTCAGCGGATGACGAATATTGCATAGCTGTAACTCGCCATCTTTTGCTTTCCATCGCTAAATTCAGAAAACTGTCAAGATCTTCTTAGACATTCTTGCGCTCCAATGCGATTTGTCGAAGCGCTGTGATATCCACTACGATATAATGAAGGCAGATTATTTGTAAAAAGGTCATTTCTTTGCGAGAATGTAAGGATTATGATTAGACCTACTCTCTCGAAATTTGAGGCTATTTACTAGACGTTCTCATAGCGGTTTGAAACCTGAAACATCCTCAAAGAAAGAAAGGCTTGGAACCAATCATTTCCAGAGATTACAAAGAATTTAGCCGAGCTCAATCTAAGGGGATATCTTATTGAGAGTCATGCTTTGAATGGAATGTTAGTCATTCATTCTGATGCTAAACAAACCGCACAATATCATTAGCCGCTGTGGTCTGTTGCAGACTGCAGAGGGTCGTTAGTGATTCAATCATGATGTTATGAATGTAAATTATTTTCCTAGCGCGGATATTAGTTTTCAAAAAAAAAAGTTTTACTAATCTGATTATTTTTACGCTTTATGCGATTTTTAATGAATTGTTTGACATCTTACTCAGCTGTTCTCTGTTCATACTGTATTGTTGGTAGCAAATAAACGACAAATATACTTTTTCCTGTGCCCCGCCTCCATACAATTCTGTCTCAAAATGCCTGCTGCCATTGTGTGGGATCCGCTCATTTCACCAAACAAAACTGTTGAAAAAAAACATCATCAATTGTGCTCATAGATACGAATTGGCATATAGATTGCTATTCTGATATTAGCACAGAGGTGAGAACGTATCTTCACTATCACGCGATTCCAAGTAACTGTAAGGCTTCTGATCGTCTGAAAAGTGCTTTTCGGTCCAAAAACCCTGTATTGGGCTGAAGCACTATAAAAACAAGTCCAGAAACTGGATGAATAGTCATAACTTTCTGGCAGTTGAGTTATGAGTTCTGGCAGTGAGAGTTGAGTTCTGGCAGTGATCGAGGACGCACGTAGTGTTTGCGGGTCCCAACTTTCTCACTTTTTACTATGCCGGTTTGACTTATCTCGCGAATTTTGTACCGAAACGATTTCAGTGAAAGGTTCAATGTT